GGTTAAGACTTAATCTTTTCCTTCTCCTCCACGGGGGAAATTTCGAAAAATTCCTTCTTAGTGTGCGTTTTCATGACCTACTCTAACTGTATGCCAAATTTTACCTCTAGGTTTAGCAGTTTGCTCTGGGCGATGGTGAATCAATCAGTCAGTCAGTCAGGACAAGTAATTTTATATATTTACATAATGGTTTCTTTAGACAATTAGATGATATCTTTATGGGCTCTTGCATCGGTCCAAAACTCGCTGAACTGTGCATGATTAACATCGACAATATTAACCATAAATTTGACGGTATAATGTTCTACAACCGTTATGTTGACGACTGCTTTGTTGTTTATAAGAAACAATTAACCAACCCTCAAATCATACTTCAATACGCCAACAATATAAAAAAAAAAACATATATATATATGTTTTGAAATAGAAAATGAAAATAACAGCAAAGTTAATTTTTTAGACATCACTATACTAAGAAATAATAATTTCATTACCTTTAAAAAATATATAAAACCCTGTGAAGTCAGTAAAGTAATCAATTACTACTCCAGCACACCCGTGTATATTAAAAAGAACATGTACTACCATTAAAATGTACTACCTCCCTCCATCGTATCCCACTTGGCAAGTCAACACACCAAACATTCAGTAAATATTCACATTTTTTTAACCTCTCCTATCTGGCCTATGTTGTTCTTTACATTTCATCGTAATTATTACGTATCCTACCCTTAGTAATTTTATAAAAATTCCGCCTCTTAATTATGTACTTAATTTTTTATTTAAGTTTATCCCCCTTTTTATTCTAGCGCATGTTATTATACTGTTCTAATATGTATAAGGGTGGAATTAACAGAATTTTAGCTCCATTCATCACCTTTTTTCGCCTATGTTTTCTCACGAATCGTGTTGTCGTAACAGTCACTATAATCTCAGGTAATTATGTTTTATTGTATAAACCTGTGTACGCGTATCCTAAATATTTCAATACAATTGGTAAATCTATAACTCTGTAATAATTTTGTTGATAAATCTGTTATAATAGGACTGAAGAGGGGTGTTAAGCCCGAAATTCATATCCTTTCCTATCGATAAACCGAACTTTTTCCACTAAAAGTGTTCCTGTGTCATTTGTTTTCAACGGCAACCTTACGCTAAAAAAATACATATAATAAAGAGTACAGCAAGCAACCAATATCCAACAAACATGGTTTAAACTTAAATTGGAGCAAATTAGTACTACGGAAGTGCATTTTTTTACACATTGGCATTTTACTCAAAAACGGTTCCTTAAACACGAAGGTATACATCACGATCGTCGTTACACATCCCTTCAACCTCCAATGATTCACATACCTATAAGCTTCCAGAGTTTAAAGCGCTAGTTAGAAAGGCATTCCATTATTGCTCCAACATATACGACAGGCTGCAAGAGTTAGATAGATTAGAGCTGTGGTTAGGATGTTGGGGTTTGGAGCAAAAGTCGTTGAAGGATTAACGATAACGGAACAAACTGAAATCATGATAAAATGTTAGACAATAATACCTTCAACCAGTGATCCTCAAAGTTTTTCTGAGGGAGATAGCGCCCACTTTGGGAATCACTGCCTTAAAACAGTAAAACATAAACTAAAGCTAGAGAATCATTCATAAAATAATAACTTTAAAAAGGATCCATTAAAAAGGATTTTTTTACTGTAAAGTGGCTATTTAGTATGCTTTAATTCGCTGTTATCTGCAGGTTACGACATTTTTTATTATAGGTTTCCACTATTGTTCGTTCTTCCTTCCTTCATCTCGAGAACAGAGCCGACGTTTTCATCGCGAAAACGTATACGTCAGATGTTCAGCACCGCCTTCCTGTAAGCCTAGGTTTGTGACAATGGTAACTAAAACGTCAGTGGAATCATGCTCGACGTTCCAAACGCCATTGTACAACTTCTAGGCTTACAGGAAGGCGGTGCTGAACGTCTGACGTGCACGTTTTCGCGATGAAAACGCCGGCCGCAACCTCTCTATTAAAATTTGTAAGCAGACTGTTGCTGACTTCCTAGAAGAAGAGACATTTTCTTTGCAAGTTGTCTGGACCGAGTGCCGATGTCGCAGCACTTTTCCCAGCTCGCTTCACAATCGCATTAGCATCGCTAAACTTTTCGTCTATCGTACTTCTTCTCTCGACGAATTATTTTCTAGAACTGTTGTTTGAGTAAAGACTTTCACATCAACAGCCCACGTCCAGACTTGTCCGCTCGTTTCTCCGTCTACTAAACGACCGTAATGCGTGGTCGATTTATGAAACTGAAACTACTGCAGGTTCCAAAAGAGACTGCGATAGCCATTAATTTCGTACTGGGAAATGCCGAAAAGTAAGACGAAATTCCATGACGAATAAATAAAAATACATGGGGGGGGTTCGTTTCCAAAAGTAGAAAAGATTACTTTTATGCCTTTTGCACAGTATGCCGTTGTGATGCGGAAATAGGAAGTAAAGGCAAAAGTACGATTGAAAGACATGCTACTACTGACATATAAAACCAATATTCGAACTGCAAGTAAGTCGCCATTATTATCGTTTGTTTCTACAGTCCAATCTGCTCGGGACGATAAAATTCTGACTGCAAAGTGTATCATGCTGCGAAACACCCCCAATCGTATAGTAGTATCTATTGCAAAGTAAAAGTTGATAAAGATATACAATGACTTAAAATTAAACTTCAAAAAAGGCTGAGTGGTAATTTGTTTGGATTTGCAGTAAAAAACAAATTTAATGCTTGTAGGAAATGTGATGCAGACTTATGTGATATTTTCGATAAAAGAATAATGAAATATTGAAGCGATAAATATGATTTCTCCGAAAACAGCCTTTACTACAGTGTCAAAATTGAGCCTAACAAGAGTCAGGCTAACACTCCACTACCGTAAAAACGGCGTAAAAACATCTCGCCGTAAAAGCTTTTAATCACGTGAACTATTTGCGTTTGCGCTCGGATTACGGTGGAGGTCCAGCTAGCGCGAAGTTTTTACGACGACGGTGCTGCTCCAAGTGTGGAAAGTAAATACTTCTTCGCACGTGAATTGGTAGAAACAGAAGACGGTTGTATACGTGATATAACGATATGAAGACTATTATATTCTACGAGTTTTTTCTGTACTATAATTACAAATGTAGTAAAAATAATATCTTTACTTTCATATACTAACTTTTATTATCGTATTATTAAGATAATATACAGTACTTATCAGCTTAGCTTTTTTATTATATACTCCTCTAAATTGAAGGATTTTCTTTCGTATCCATTATTATAATCGGGTTACCTCTTGTCGTAGATACACGAATACTTTCGAATGTTTTCGATAAATCTTTCCGGATCTATTCTAAAGTAGCCACGAGGGAACGAACACAAAACCTCGTTTTCCGCCATTTTAGCTCCGTGTCGCGATGACGTAGTTCCACTGACTTCTGATAGGTTGAAGATATCGTTTTACGGTCGTATTCGTGTCGAAAGTTGAACATAGCTCAACTCGCTTTTACGCTGGTTTTACGGCCTGCTCAAGCGTAAGATATCAGGGTCACGTGATTAAAAGCTTTTACGGTGAGGAGTTTTTACGGTAGTAGAGTCTTAGCCTCATACTTTTCCAAGAGTTCTGCAATGTGGTGAAGGCATGTAACATACCTGATATTGACATGGATAAATTATACGGAGCGTATGGGTTTGAGGAGACAAATATAAATAATCCTGAGGTGGTAAACAGCATATGCGAAGAACGCTATCTGAAGTTATTCAATAACAGTGACATAGAGATTCCTTTTCACAATCTAAAGAAAATCAGTGCCTATATCTTCTCCATAGCATGTAGCATGCTCATGCCGAACGAGTTTTCTCAATAATGACTAGTTTGGAAAAATGAGAAAAATCGTTTGAAAGTAGATTCTGTCAAAGCAGAACTCCAAATATGTAATAACGTCACAGAAGAATGCCGAGTTACGTACAAAAGAGTTGTTGCCAACAAGAAACTACTGGAAATGGCAAGCAAATAACAGAAATATCAAAAGTAGGAAGCCATGCGGTCAGTTTAGTTTTGATATTCTTTTGTTTTTTTAATAAAATACAGAATTTTTGCTCTCTTTCTCAACGTTTGTTACTTCATGTACTACGGTTTTTGACGTTTAATATTATCGCTGATTATTGAACATTCCATACATTTATTTTTCCGTATTTTATTTATACATATGTGTATAAAAAATAGGAAGCACAAGGGATCAACAGGGTTCGCGGGGATTATCCCCAACGGTGTCCATTCTTTTAGGTATTGGGTGATGACAACCCTACATAAAATTCATCTTTGTTTTATCAAAATAAAATTAAATAGAATCGCTATTTTGGGAAAAAGCGTAAGAATAAAATTGGTCAAGTGAATTCTAGATCTAAAAGAGTAAGAGCAACCGAGACCCCCGAGAGCAGTGAACTTAAGCAACATAGAAAAAAAAGACTTTGTCAAGGACTGAGAAACATCATCACAACGTCAAGCTCGACTTGAAACTACTCTCAATCCTTCAATATTTATTTTTTCAATAAAAAAATCATTTGTCGTGTTTGGCGGGAAAATTCTCAATGTATTATAAATATATAAATGAAGGCACAGGCTAAAGATACTGAGACTGAAAACTGACTACGTCATTTATGTTATCGATTTTAAAGTCACGTGATAAATATAAATCAATCACAATGCACAACTGTGCCAAACTCTGTTAGAGGGCACCGCCATCGAATTCTTACAGCTTCGTGTATACCTAACGTCACGAATGTTTGGGTTAAATTTATTCTTTTAGATCTACATTATTCCTAATTACAGATATTTGTAACTGTAATATAAAAGATAAAGAAATAACGATCGTACATATGAATATATTTATTTTAATACTGCATTAAAACAAATAGTGAAAAAGCAAGTTAAGAAAACACGTAGTATACTTATACTACGTGTACGTTAATAGAATACTTATTAAAATATTTTATTACTATTAATACATTAATTATACATTAGATTAACATTAAACAAAATTTTTTTATCCTGAGTAAATTTCCACAAATTATTTATTATTTGCCAGAAATACTTAATTACAGTCTTGACATCTTTCTTCAAAGATTACACACACATTACATTTATTTCCCTTTATACTAAAGACTTTGAGATCATTATATTAAGTATGTTTAATACACGTTATACTTAAAATTAATAATAAAAGTAAGGAGAAGTCCGTATTGTTCTATATCTTCTAGTACATCTATTAATGTAATTTCAGTTTAGTTTCTGTTTTTAATCTGCTTTTACAATTTCTCCAAAAATATGCTTAATTCTGATGAACGAGTTGATGGCTCAATAAACGACTTATAAAATAACATTCTTTGTTACATACTTCACGAACGTAACGAAGATTGTTTTCTTTGTGAAATTTTAATACATGTTTGTCGGTAAAATGTCTATTGAAATTCTCACAACGAAACGGTTTTATGTCTTAATCAATTTTCTGATGATTAATTAAAGTGGTTTTACTTTTAAATTCTTTATTACAAATATTACATTTTTCAATGTGAATTTTCCAATCTTCTTTTAGCGTGGATTCAGTCTTAAATAGATTCCAACAGATATAGCAAAAATACATATGTTCATTGTTCAATGTTAACTCAGGATATTCTTCAATTTTCAAATATTATAGGTAATTTTTCACGAGTAAAATCACCTATTTTCATGTTTAATACGAAGATGTGTGGTTAAGGCAGCTGTACTGGAGTAAACTTTTTTACATATGTCACAAACATACTTTTTTCTATCGCTATGAATAATAATGTTGTGCTGTTTCAAAGAATGTTTTGTCTTAAAATATTTCTTACATATACGACAAAAACATTTGCACTTATTGCTGTATGTACGAATATGCGTTTTTAAACTAGAACTGCATTTAAAACTTTTATTACATACCTGACAAGTATGGTCAAATTGATTACTATGAAGTAATTTATGACGTGCCAAACGGCTTTTTATTTTAAAGCATTTGTTACATATATCACAAGAATATTTGTATTCGTTGCTGTGTATATCAATATGCTGTTTTAAAGTAGCACTGCGTTTAAAACTTTTGTTACATACATGACAAGTATAGTTATATTGATTGCTATGGACTATTTTATGAGCTATCATACATTTTTTTGTTTTAAAATATTTGTTACATACCTGACAAGAATAGTTACGTTCGTCACTGTGAGTTATGAGATGTATTTTTAAACTGTCTTTCTGTTTATAACTCTTATTGCAAATATCACATTTGAAAGGACGGTCTTCACTATGCGTTGCTTCATGCTGCAATAACCCACCTTTCCTCTTAAATTCTTTTCCACATATCTTACAGGCATATACCTGTACTTTGTGTATTCTCTTGTGTATTTCTAAACGGCCCTTACCATATGGAACGCGCTTACCACAAATGTCGCAATACTCCCGCTTTATATTAGAATATTTACTATGAATAAGTTTATGCTTTGTCAAATACTGTTTCTTTTTAAAATATTTGTTACATATATCACAAGAATATTTGTATTCGTTGCTGTGTATACGAGTATGCTGTTTTAAATTAAAACGGAGTTTAAAACTTTTGTTACATACCTGACAAGTATGGTTAAATTGATTGCTATGAACTATTTTATGAGCTTGCAAATGTTTTTTTGTTTTAAAACTTTTGATACACATCTGACAAGTATAATTACGTTCATCGTTATGAGTTTTCTGATGATTTTTTAAATAACCTTTGAGTTTAAAACTTTTATTGCAAATATCGCATTTGAAAGGTCGTTCTTCACTATGTGTTCGTTCATGTTGCAACAATAAACAGTTCAATCTAAATTTTTTTCCACATATATTGCAGGCATGAACTCTGTGTATTCTTTTGTGTCTTTCTAAACGGCCTTTACCATATCGAACGCGCTTACCACAAATGTCACAAAACACGTTTTTCAGCTTAATATTAGATTTTTTACCATCTGTTGGAGATGGCTTCATTCGATCTTCAGATGGCTGCATACGTAAATTCCTATGAGAGTTTCCGTTTTCATTTTCAGTTTTGTGTTCTTTCGTGTGTCTTCGCAAAAGAAATTGCCACAAAAACTTCTTATTGCAGGATGTGCAGCGAAATAGTTTTTTCCCAATATGACAGAACAGATGTGTTTGTAATATTCTCTTATTTGTAAAAGTCTGTTTACATAAATCACACGTAAATTCTTGTTTAGAATGAGATGCAAACATAACCTTGAAGTATTTCCTTTTAATCTTATCATAAATTTTATTGCATTTTCCTCTGGAAGGAACGTATATCTTTGTTTTGCTATTATATTTAAAACGCTTTTGTTTTCTTGAATTGTGCTGAATATCGTATTCTTGAATCTGCTCTTCCTCCTCAACTGAAAGATTAAAAAATAACATAAAAATTACCTATAATATTTGAATGAACAAAACATTACTGCAATATTAAAATGTTACTGCTGTAGTTGTATAATTGATAGAGTATACCTATGTCGTTCGTTTAAATACAAGGCATAAGAAAAGGTGTTACAGAAAAAGTCTATGGACTTTAAGTTGAGAAGAAAAATCGATGTATTTTTCATATTTTTGAATTAAAATACGTTTTTCAAGAATATTAGCAACGTGTTAAAAAAACACATTGCTAATATATACAGTACAGTACATTAAATAAGTTATACAGCCTCCGATTACTTCGTTTCAAATCATTTCCTTTATTATTTTAGCGGATCCACGAACAAAGACACATTACATGAATCATTAAATAACAACTCATGAGTTGTGATTTACTGATTCTGATAATTCTAACATACTTTTATTAAGTTTAAATTTATATTAATACGAAGTCGGTAGTTATTTATAATTCTCAAATATCTAATACCAGTTAAATGTATGACAGTTGAAACTTGAATGCAGTTCTTCAACTGCCCATTGAATAATACCAATATAAAAAGTTCGAACTAAGTAACATGTTACTTACTTTGGATGTTTATTTCATTCCTGATAGAGTTTTTTTCCGGAGTGAAGTATTCATTGTTGACAGGCTAAACAATATACAAACAATACATGACAATCAACGAATAATCATTTATGATGTATAAACCAGTAACGAGTTGCTCAACTTTCCCGGAAACATTTTAAAATTTTCGTGGCGCTGTCTGTAATTAAACGTTTTAAAATAAAATATGATATTTTTTACTATTATAGAAAAGCAAAGAACTGAATTTTGAAAGTAGAAATGATTTTTATAAAAAAAAAAGTTTGCTGCAAATAACGAATAAAGTCATCATTAAGTCCGATCCTACTGGAGATACACACAGCATCCATTATTTCCTCACTTTCTTGATTTTTAACCAGCAAAATTTAATAGTTTCAATTTCCCTAATAATCAAAGTTTCCTGCAAAATTTCAGAAATTTTCTAAGAAAAGAACAGGAGTTATTAAGTTTCAATCAGGGTGAAGAAAATCGTTTATCCCCACACACTAACGTTCGGATTCTGATAAAAATCCACGATTTTTTGCATTTTTCGACGTTTGAAAGTGTTCTATGTTTAAAATTCTTGGGGAGTCATTTTTTGACCGATCCTCATACTTTTTCTTTGTTTAATATAATAGTCGGAAAAGTAATATAAAAGTCATTACACACTTTTAAATTACAAATCCGTTATTTGTAATTTCATATATAAGCTAATGATTAGAAAATTGCATTAAAATTAATTGTTTTGAAAATTTTGTAGAAATTATTTAATCTTTTGAAGAAATTAACAAAATAACAAGAGAAACTCTTCACTTTCCATCTTGTCCATTAAAAATGATATTACTAATGAAGTAGGCTGATTTTGGTACAGATCTATGTTATTAATATTTAGCCCATTGAAAACCAGGAGAGTAGTTCTGTATAGAAAGATTTTTACACCTATTGAATTGTTTTGCTCATTTTATTATATTAGAGAGGTTGCAGCCGAAGTATACACTTTAAATTTGTACGGAAAGCAGAAGTACACGTTTGACATTTTAACTCCAAGTAAAACACATATCCAAAAACTTCAGCCTTTTAAACCGAACAAATAGATGAGCAAATGCTCTCTGAATAGTCTGTCGACACGATGAAAACTTATTGTTAAACATAATTTTAGATTTTAATTAAAAAAAAAAACCATTTTCTCTGTACGTGGGTAACTTATTAAATGCTTTGAAAGTTGGTACGCACCATTTCTTATAATTTGAAAATCTGCATGTAGAAAGCCATCACCACTGCAAACTCTATTTATTTATATAATTTATATACTTGAGGTTCTTCTAAAGGGGCATTGATTGCTATATGCTTCCTATCCACACAGCCAATAACTCCAGTTATACCGTATTTCATAGCAAACGTCTGAGCAGTTTTTCCTTGCCTTCCTTTTTCTGTTACTATTTCTTTTGATTGTAATAAAATGGGAACAATTTTTATTTATAAATTTTAAATATCAATTTATAAATTTTCGAACGTAAGTCGACTTACTCGAAAGTGTTCTTTAAAAACATTTGGCGTATATTCTAATGCAATCCCTGAAACGTAATTAGTTATTTTGCACACCTTATTTTGCATTTTGCACTTGTTTTTTTTACTTCTGTATTGTGCTAAATAATTAACCAAAATTAATTCTTCTTCCTCGGATTCTGAATCTAATTCTGATAACGTATCTAAAATGATTCCTTAACTTTCCGCCATCTTGAATCCTACTTGTATACTTTTCGCCATGAAAAAGCTATCTGTATCACGTGACAAGGACTGATTCGATTTTACAGATCGATCTATACAGAACGAAAAGTATATGCACCCCAAGTAAAACATGTTGCACCACAAGGTGACGTACGTGGCACAACGTCACCTGGTTATGTTGTTGATGGCAGAAGATGCTCTAAAAGAACAGATTTTCTTTCACAGTATTACGATAAGCTATTATGAACACGAATATATAAAATTCTATAGGCTCTGTACCTCACTTAAAAAAAAAATTGAATATAGTCGATCCCCCTATAACACTGTTGATTTTTCGGTTTTATATGAATTCCACGTTGTACGATTCACTTAGATTTTACAACTACGTGTGCTGGGCTGTGAACGGCTCACGTATTTGTAAAATCTAAGTGACTCGTACAACATGTAATTAATTAAATAATCGTCGACTGTAATTAAATAATTCTGGGATTAAATCGTCTGTTTCGTTACAATGTTATTAACAAATGCTTAAATAATTATTATTTTAATAAAATATATCATAAATTTAATATAAAACAGAGAAAAAGCAAACGTTTAAGCCGAACTTCTACTCGCCACGTTTGACGTTCCAAACGCCATTGTCAAACTTCTAGGATTACAAGATGACGGCGCTTGACGTTCACGTTTTAGCGATGAAAACTTCGGCCGCAATGTTTCTATTATTTTGTTGTAATCAACAGTTACTTTACAACTAATTATGATTAGGAATTGTAGGGTTTATTAATTTCTTATAATCTGTGTTTATCTAATTAATGTCTACATAGTATTAGAAAAATAAATTAATCTGTTAATAAATAAATAAATTTGTAATATTGTCGTATCAATGGATCACGAAGTAAATTTTGCCAAGGGTTTCTTAAATCTTAGGTCTGACTGTATGTCGGGTAATTTTCCTCAACATTGGCCGCATCCTGTTACCGTGAAAGTCCGAAATTAGAGAATGTCAATATTCTCCGGTGAATGTTGACACATACAAAATACGTCGGTGAAAGACCGAATATTTGGTTATATTATTATACATTCGAACAATCGCAGGTGTATGTCGACAAGCATAGATAAGTATTGGTGGAGGTCGAAACGACACCCGAGAAGCCGATGTTGACAGAAAGGCACAGCCTGTCGCCAAATCCTTTGTTCTGTCGCAATTGAAATCACGTGGTATCTATTTGTTATACTCTGGAACACTGCTGTTTGTCAGTCTTATGCAAGGTTTGCTGCTGCATACAATGCTTTCTTAAATTTTATTTTTTTATCCAATACTCTAATTTATATTGAATGGATACTGCAGTGAACCAAGAACTTTTTTTGAAACGTTACATGCATTAATTGCAAGTAAACGAGAAAACAATTGTTTTTATTTTTCTCAAGAAAAGTACTCTAAAATACTTTCTGAAGTGATTTCTGCTAAAACTAAGTGCAGCACACCTTTGTATTACAGACGATTAAAACGTTTTGACATTTTAAAAATGAATGATGAAGAGAAATTAATTGTACTATTAAAATCAGGAGAAACGAATATACAGTATTATGTTACCAATGATAAATTGTTCAGTATACTATCTGAAACTCACAGCAGAACAGGCGATGGAGAAAAAACACGTATGCTTAATTTAAAGAATTGCAACTTAAATACAAAAATATTACATATGAAGTTGTAATGTATTTAAATTTATGTAAACCATGTCAAATGAAACATAGTGCACCTAAAAAAGGTATTGTTGTGAAACTAATGGTCAGTTCGGAGTTAAACTCAAGATGTCAAGTCGATCTGATAGACCTGTAGTCACACAAGGATGGCGAATATAAGTTAATAATAAACAGCTGAAGAAGTAGCATATCACCTTCAAATATGTTTAACATTTGGTGCCCCAGCTATATTGCATTCAGATAATGGTAGGGAATTCTGTAATCAAGTTATATCCGAACTATGCGCTATGTGGAGAGATGTTAAGATAGTTCATTGAAAGCCTCGTCATAGTCAAACACAAGGCTCAGTTGAAAGGGCCAATCAGGATATACAGAATATGTTAACTGCATGGATGAAAGATAACAATACAAATAAATGGACAGATGGTTTGCCCTTTCTACAATTTGCCAAGAACACTACATATCACGAAGGAATGTGCGAAAGTCCTCATGAAGCCATGTTTAGCGTTAAATCAAAAAGAGGCATAGCATCATCATCTTTGCCTGGCGAACAAATCGCAAATATTGAAACCGAAGAACAGCTCGAAGAAATTGTTAATACTTTTGAAGGAAATTTGAGCAGTGGCCATAACGAATACCATATTCCAAAGGAAAATACTGAAGAGGAGATGCAACCCACCACGTCTTCATGTCAAGCCCTGACTGAACAACACAATTTATTTCTATAAAAAGAGCGGCCGCGAAAGAGAATCTTCTACTGCAAGCAACGAAAATGTTACAGACCTCAAAAAGAAAATTTCCTCCTGCTCAAATTGGTGATACAGTACGAATACAAGTCCCTGATGTCGACCGTGGCCGTACAGATGTCCAAATGTGTTGGCGGTTGTTGTTGTTGGAATAGAAGACTCCGACTTTTATAAATTTGCAAACAAAAAAGGTACCCTCAAGCGGCTTTATACCCGTAATCAGTTCGTAATTTGTAAAGAAAAGTTACTTTCCATAGAGGAGATTTCTTCTCAAGAAATATCGCTGAGAGAAGCAGCTGCAGATAATTTGAAAAGTGGAAAGCAAGACTATACACACTGTCATTGCAAAAAGAAGTGTTCCGCGAATAAATGCAGTTGTAAAAGCAAGGGACTCTTGTGAAATTCAAAGTGTCATAACAGTTTAAGTTGTTGCAATAAATAAGATTGTATAACGTTAATCACATAATTAATGTGTAAGTTTACTATTGTGTATTATTTTTCTTTTTTAAGAATGTACAGGCATACCTCGACTTACGTCGGTTTCGAGTTACGTCGTTCCCGATTATACGTCGCTTGTTAAAAAAGTATATGGAAAAATAAAAATCAAGTTTAAGTCATTTTATTCGACTTTACGTCTGTCCGCCACAAATATTGAAGTCGTAATATCACTAGATAAACGTTTAAAGCACATAAAATCATATTAAAATATATACAAGTATGTACTGTATTTACAGTACACGCATTCGTAAATTTAGATTACTTTTTTTGTACTATATTAAAAACTAAAATTTATTTGTTTGTAAGCTTAAAATAGATTTTTATTAACCATATATTATTTAAAATGCTTTCCTAGTGATAAGTAGATTCGGAGACAGGTAAATTCGACTTACGTCGTTTTCCTGGAACCAATTACCGACGTAAGGCGAGGTATACCTGTACTGTTCGTTTTAAGTTCAACAGTTTATTTAAATGTGCTGTTACTTAAGCTTTCTTCTATTTTGACATATTAAAAAGTTGCATTTTTGTCTTAACGTAATAAAAATATTTTTATTGAACATTCACCATCAGTGCATGCTGAATGTCGACATTTGCCGGTGTAAGTGAGAAATAATGATATTTAGCAAATATATTCGAACATGCACGAAACGACTGTGTGAATGCTCACATTCACCGGAGAATCTCGACATTTGCCAGAAATCGGTCTTTCACAGTAATATATACATAACAAAATAAAGTACTATAATCTGGTCAATTTCCACACACTGATTTTTTGCAAAATTTCAGATTCTACATTCCAAAACACGGCAAAAAATTCCGTGAATATGTGTATGTGTGCTTTTATTTTGCGTCTATTTCACTTAATATTTCACAATGAATTGAACATTAAAAAACGAAATTTGGTTCAGTCATTGTGTATAAGGGGCATTAATACTATTACATTTTGGTAATAAAGCGTCAAAGATTAAAAAGATGGTCACGTGTAATATTTTGAGTGGGTTCAGAATTAATGAAGTTTATATTTGGTGGTTAGAGTGTACAATTGTTTATAAAATGCATTTCTACCATCAAAAATAAATATTTCTTCATTTTATAATAGTTAAAATAATTAAGAAATTTTATAATATATGGCTCCACAGACAACTTTTTTTTTATTTACTGTGATTAATAATATAAATTTTTAAAAATTAACTCTCTTAACATGCAGGAATGCTACACAACTCGTTGCTAGATTTTTTTCTTATATATTACATATTTTTATATTTAATACGGAAAACACCTAAATTTAAAGCATAATATTCATTACTAAGTTTTCAATAATTCAGAAAGCTAAGTTTAATATTAAATTTTCACTGTAAAATATTTCGAAATTTGTATTAGTTACCATTACCTCTTCATTATCATCTGGAACATGAACATCTTTACAATCTTCAGTCTTTACTTCAATCTTCAATTTTTTCAAAACAACTTTACATTCTGATTTTATAATATGTTTTACATCATAATTCTCTTTTACTTCTTCTTTCTTGATATCTGTAGTGAAATTTACAAAGTTCTTGTGTTAAAGGATTCTAAGAAGAGCTAGAAAGATAAAATAAAACTCAGCATATTTTCATTAATTAACATAACAATATTACATTACATGTTTCACTACATCATTTACTTCTGATTATAAGCCGAAAACTGGATACGAGTCACGGCAAATTGGTGTGATGTGTGATAGAAATGATAATAAATATAATTAGAAGCTTCTTTTCTTAGGAAATAAACCAGCAACGAGTGCTTAACTTTTCCGGAAACATTTAAAACTACGTGTGTAAAGCTTGATTTTGAATATAAAGATGAGTTTTATAAAAAAAAATTGTAAATGAGAAAATGAGTAAACTCTTCATTATCTCTGACCCTACTGAAGATACACACGACCCGCATTATCTCTAGCCTCTAGACCAGGGGTGGCCAACAGTTTTTGCCTCCGGGCAGAATTGGAAAGGAAACTTTTTTCACGGGCCGAACGAACCACAGACTGCCCTAGGAAGATTTTGAGGTAGTGCGAGATCTCATTTTGATGTCATCCCGTAGAGACTAAATTGTACATAGAGATTACAGATACATTTTTCATATTATCATGCATTATCAACATTCTACGCTGTGCTTAGGAGATTTGTAAGGAAGCGTTAATTCTAAACGCACAGTGAGTTGTTGACCTTCTTTTTTTTAAGGGTCAGAATTTTTCGTCGTCGAGCTCTTCGGTCTTGCGTAGATAACATTGAAAGAGTAACGCGGGCCGTATAAATTTTTCAGACGGGCCGTATCCGGCCCGCAAACCGTTGGCCATTCCTGCTCTAGACCTTTAATCACAAAAACTTCAAAAAAGCATGAATTACTTTAATAAACAAATCTTCCTTTCAAATTTCAGAAATTTTCGACAAAAGGCATAGTAATTATTAAACTTTAAAAAGGTTGAAGAAAATCATCGTGCCCCTCCACACACAATGACATTTATGAATACAAAAAATTCCCCGAAGTTTTTGGTCGTTCTGACTTTCCATTAGCAAAAAATATAAAATATCTTACAAAATTCTATTTGTCGACGTTGATAACTTTATGTCTGAAAATTTAGACGTATGTACGATGTACTGTAAAGTGCGTTACGTATCAATGTGTCACTCCTTCACACTTCGTATCATATATAATACATGAATGTGTATGCAATAAAACTTCTTTCAACGCAAGTAATGTATAAGTAAGAATTAAGTGTACAAGGATTTATTTTCATGTGCATTCTGGGTCTAAAATTATCCTGTCCTCATGGCATTCCAACATTCCTTAAAAAACATATTGCTTAGTACATAGGTCAACAGATGCATTTACTGCGTGATTAATACAGTTCCTATCCAATTAGAAGTGGTTCGAGTATGATTTCCTTGAATCTTAAATAGATATTATATGCAAAAGTACTTAGTAACTAAAGTAAAAAAATAACTTGGATGGAGCTTATGAGTGATATGTTTATGCATCGAGTTTCCTAACGATGGATAATTTATTTCCACTGTTGTACCGACTCTCATAAGTAAAAAAAAATGTGTAATGCAATAATAATTTTGCATATAATTATTTTGAGTTTGATTTGAAAAGAAACAAAATCCGGCAACGAGTTCCGGAACTTTATCAGCAAAAATGTTACAATTGGTCATGGCGCTATGTGTTATGAGATTCTACGTAAAAAATCGTTTTATATTATTAATTATTACATCCCAGTCTAAGCACTTATTAATGGCGACCCCACTCTTTTCAGAATATCACAAACATATATCGATAGAAGCAATAAAATAAATACCAACAGACTTTTTCGCTAGAACAAAAAACACATCGAATTTAATCATATGATTTGGATGTAATTTGAAAACATTGTAGACCTATAAATTTTCACTGTCGACTGTCTGTGTGTAAGTCTTTGTCTGTGTGTAAGTCTTTTCTTAATCTCGACAACCGACGAAAATGAAAGAAAGCCGAGATCATATATTATGGAAAGATTAGGAGCTTGAGACACCGAGCATTTGATGAAGATCGAAAGTCATGTTATTTCAATAAAAACCGTTTCTCGTGAAAAGAGTTAATAAATTACCGGCAAAACTCCATTGCCAAACGAAAAGTATAATGTACAGAGGTAAGCCACTATTAATTTCAGGTAAAGAGCATATATTTTAAATTAAATACATTAAAGATGTGATTAAAGTTTGCAGTCCAGGTTTGTGACGATGCCATAATAAATAATTGCTCGTTTCATTGAAATCTAAAATATCTAAATTCGACTTTTCTCTNAGTTAATAAATGACCGGCACAACTGCATTGTTAAAGGCAAAGTATAATGAACAGAGACAAGCCACTATTAATTTGAGATGAAGAACATATCTTATGAACTAAATACATTAAAAATATGATTATAAATTGCAGCCCGGCATTGTGACGATGCCATAATAAATAATTGCTCGTTTCATTGAAATCTAAAATATCTAAATTTGACTTTTCTCTATTGTAAGATTCTGATCAATTGAATTGACAATTTTAAATCTGTCAACTGAATTAAATATTATTGATAATATTAAATTCTATTTAAATCCTTATTCACTATACACAACGTGTTCCCGACGTTTTTCAAATGTTATCATTTCCATTTATATGAATATAAATTTATGTATTACTTATTATTCTTATCAGTAGGAATATACTTTCATTATATTAAAAGCATTAAACCTCTTACCTCTTTCGATTTTATAACCAGAATGACTCCAAATAGTGGATCCGTTTGTGTAAATTGGTTTATCTTTGCTATTTATCTGAAATAAAATAACATTACATCATACTATTAATATTAGACTGATTGACCTTTATAGAAAACAAATAAAAAATTTATTTAAACTGAAGCATAGAAATACACTTACTAAATAATTTTTTTAAAAATATGGCCTACAAACTACTTTTCTTTTAATAGTAATGCCTGTCATCTATTTAATCCCTTTCAAACGAAAATTTTAAATTCAAACAACGTGAATTCCGGTTTTTAGCAAAGATATGTATACAGTTTATCGAAACCCCGTGCCCAATTAAAAATATCTGATACTATATGAATATGTAAATAATAGTTTTTTTAAGAATTGGGCTGCAATTTAAAAATAGATTTATAAATTCCCACTTTATATTGTGTAAATTAAGAAAATACTGCTGTGTAAATTAAGAAAATACTGTCAAACAGTCTGTACGACTGTTTGACAGTATTTTCTTAATTTACACAGCAGAGATAGATAGGTAAAAGTCGAGACCAGATGTGGAAAACTTAGAGGCACAATAATTCTATCCAGGGCCGGCACAGCTTCCCTATCATCGAATGTCACCATACGCCACTGCACGTGACTACCGTCTATCTATCCATCCTCTTGACCTTTCACAACTGATCTTTAATAGCATCGATTCCCCTTAGAAAGAAGCTACCATGCGGAATTTCGTACCTTTATCTTCACGCCGTCCTGAGATATTAAATGAAATAGACGTGAACAGACACACACACAACCAGTTTGGTTTTTGTTTTTTTTTTTTACTTTTTTGGGTTCAGGAAGCTTCAAAACGTGGAGATTGCCAAAAAAGTCGGAAGGTCAAATCTGACAAAACTGCGTTACTTTTCCATGTTACGAAGATATACCAAGAAAGTAAAACGTACAACTGTGCAAAACGTGACTTTATACAATAGGAATAGGTAATTGCCAGTCAGTTGTAATGTATACACAACAATATAAAAAATTTTAAAGACAGTGGGACCACAAAATTCCGTCAGTACAAAAAACGTTATCCCTTTTAAAACGAACACTGTGGCCAAAACGTCAAATTTATAGTAAAGAGCAGAAATATATTTTAATTGAAATCGAAAATAACGTAACTCACTTGTCAGTTTAAAACTCGTTGGGCGTATATTTATAAAAATATACTATTTTTAAAAAATATATATATTTATATATACATATCTATATATATTTTTTTAATTTTCCGTTTTATACTTCAGCGTTAAAGATCTGTTTCTCGTCCTTAAAGCAAAACTGCGATCTTACAATAAAGTATTTTCACTCACCTCTAAAGGTTCCGATTTAATTGTTTTATAACACTTCACATCTGTGTTAAATTCTTTCTTGAAATTTTTTAAATCAACTTCAAATTTTTCTTCGTTTCGTTCAATTGTAAAGTCCGAATAATTCGTTTCTAACTCTTCTTTTATCTTCATTTTCTCCATTTACGATATTCTCGAATGCCAACAATCTGTATTCAATATGAGAATTAATTATAGTTAATTAATAAATGGTCATTCAAAATTTAGAGCAAAGACGAGTAAAGTCGTGATTATTGTTCCCGTTGTAACAGTAAACAAGGGGATGTACTTTCAAGGTTAACGGAAGAGATTCCAGTGATAACGCGTCAACAGCACTTGTGATACTTGCAGATATAATATCTATTATACGGTTAACAGTCAAGAATTTTTTAACTGGGGTTTAAAATTCATCTTTAATAACATAAACACCAGAGTTGAGATATATTTATTTATGAAATATTAATAAAAACGTATTAAAATTTATGATAACAATTTCATTTTATTTGTACCTGGAGGCCTAGGACTGGAGTCCTATTAGACTCTATGTAGATTTGCCACTGACTACGCAGCCTGATAGTTTAATGTTAACTCTCATATAATTAAAAGATAAAATTTTTAAAAAAGTTAAAAATCAGAAAAATTTATCAAGTAAATAAATAAAACTACTAAAAATATGAAAATGAATATAAATTTGATAATTTTTTTGTGCGAAACAACACTAAAATCATTTTTAATACTTATGTGGAAAGAAACGACAGTTGCAATTAATTAAAACTAGTATAATTAATGCAGAAAATTCGATACAAAATTAATATTACGTGAGGATACAGAGTTCATAATTTACTTTTAACAATAGTTTGTTATATTTGTTCGATGTTTTCACCTATTTTTGTAAAGCGAAATTAAAGGAAAAACTTCCTTTCCTGTTAATTAATATACACCAATGACCTCTAATCCATTTTTTCCTTGTGTGAGAAAGTCTAGGAAATATTTTTAGGAAGAACTTTTCTATGAAATTCACACTTTATGTCCTTACCGTACGTTGTTCTCCAACTCTGTAAATCATTAAACGAAATGTTCCTTCACACCAGTTTTAAAAGCGTTAAGATGATGATTGTCAGTGACCCCAACGGTCATCGTCGAATACTTTGCCTCCCACTCGCTTCTTTCCGCCCTTCTAGATTTACTAACCACCAACAAGGGGAGGAGTTGCGACCCCTCTTAGCAACTTCCGACACGTGTCGGGAGAGTAGAAATCTTGTTTCCACAGTTCTAATTGGAGGAGTTCCGCGCTTGAAAATGAGGTCACCCTCGCACAAGACAGTTCACTGGAGTCTGCCAAGTAAAACTTGTTGCTGTGTGAAAGACAGAGTAGCCACTAAAATTCCTAAACTTCCGACGCAAATAGGAAGAAACGGAAAAATTCGAAGACGAAGAGAAATATATCAAATTTAAAAAATAATTGTGAGAATATTAAAGGTATATTTACATTTAAGTTATTCTGTGAACTCTCTCTCTCTCTCTCTCTCTCTCCCTCCCTCTATCCCCATTCGAAAGGGAAATTCGATAGAAGCATAAACCAGCAACCAGTAAGTCAAATCTCCCAGCAACATTTGAAATTTACCTGGCGCCCTCTGTTATTATATTTACTTTTTAAAATATTATATATTTTTAAATATTATAAAATGGAAAAACCTTAAGGGATGAGTTTTATAAAACTTAAAAAATTCTAGTAACGAATAAAGTCGTCATTAAGTCTACCATGACTCGTTTCTATCAGCCAATAACTGTTCGTCTGGTAGTCACGTGAGAAAATACAATCGCGCGGTGTTTTAATGGCAGAAAGAACGATGCGTTAACTGAAATGACTGACATTAGAATAAAGAGGAAATAATAATAATATTTAAGATAGATTCTATACAAATAATCACATGTAATTTAATTCAAAGGAAAAAACAAACGAATCTTAGCCGAAATAGTATTTATCGACAGATCTTGATCAAAGAATAAACGTATTTTATACACTAGTTCTTTTCCGATCCAAGTAAATACCTATAATCTAAAATTTCGACAAAATTTTTCTAGTTAAATAAAGAGAGCCGTACAAAACAAAATTTGTAAACACGTGAATAACGGCAGTGTCGGTATTGTTCGCCATGTTGAATACTGTACGCATGCGCCGAAATGTAAATGCTACCGCGTGCGGAAATGCGTTTACGTCACCGCTTTTCGTTTCCGCGACACATCAGTTCATCCACCCTAATGGCGACTTCCATTAACTCTCCACTCCGTCGACCTTAAATCATCGAAATTTAATACTATCAGTCCCCTAAATGAAAGGAAAAAAACCTAGAAAAGGACTGACGATGTAACAACGTGTTTGCCAGACGAGTGATAAAAACGAGGTGGGTTCTAGAAACAATATTTGTTTATCATATATCATGTGGGTTTCGTAGCTACGAACTATGACGTGAGTTGGTGACGCGCCACCTCTTGACTTCTATTAACTTTGAGAGTACACCCTTTGTTTACTGCTACAACGAGAAGAAAAACACTAAGTTTTCTTACCTGTCTTTGTTAGAATTCTTTCGTACTATGGCCGAGTGGTTGAACTGGTCCCACTCCAAGACGTGTTGCCATAGCAACAGAAGTGGGTCGACAGAGGGGTCGTTCCAGTAGGACAAATTTAAACACTTAATTATTTGTAATCGGGTCGGAGTAGTCGGTCATAATGTGAAATAGCCCTTACTCATTCAAAAATTCGAGTAAAATTAATATGGATATTTATTAATTGATATTGATTGATGACACTCCATTTAACTAGGAAAGATAAATCTTTCCTATTATATGAATTTTATTTATTTATCCCTTTAGGCAAATGTAAACTCAAACTCGGCGGTTTTAAAATCTTTCATTAAAAACAGATTGTTGACATACGAGAATATTTTAAATTGAGAAAATGAAGATAAAAGTTGAGCCAGAAAATGAATATTCAGAGTTTACATTTAACCCATGTGATGAGAAGTTTGAAGTGTTAAAGAATTGCAAGAAAGAATTAAATACGGATACCAAAAAGTTCTGTAGAAGAATTAAATCTGAACCTTCAGACCATAAATATACACAGGTGAGTAAAATGTACTTTTGTATACGACTCTAGTGTTGTTTTAAAGCGTCACTTGCAAACTTTCTACGTTTTCGTTACTCCTTCCAAAATTTTAAAATGAACTTTGTCTACTTAAATGCATGACTGCGGGGAAAATGTAACTATTTTGAAGTGAGAGAAATCAGCCGAACCAGAAAAGATTCATCATGTCTACATATAAAAACTGTCAAATTAACGTTAGTGAGACCGTTGGCTCCAAATCATTTATGTCATTAGATTTAAATTTGTTTATTTTTTTACAACTTATTGGTTATCATTTGCCTGACTTCACTTGTGATATGAACTGGGCTGAAATTTTCAAATTCCATACCTGTATATTTCGCTATAAACCGTCCGTTTGTCTGTTCTTTTAAATCTGATAACAGAATGAAAATCGTAAACTTTTCTACGGAGGATCGATTAACCGTAGTCATGTGATTTTTTAAAAATATGATTAAAAATTGAGGTCAATATAAACGATTTTTAAACATGAATTACTATGAAAAATTATAAATAATACAACTGAGTTGATTAACCGAATGAAACAATGAGATAGACTGATAGAGGGTGTAAAAGTGTCAATAAAATGCGCATGTAATTTATGGACAGCTTCTAAATATCACATTTATTATAAACCAAAGCTGAACTTATTTTAATTACATATAACAGAAAAATACAATTAAATAGTTAATAGGAACTAGTCGAAATGGATATTTTGTATGTTTTATATCATTCAAATGGGATGGGAGAATAATTTACAAAAACTTATTCAAATTTTGGATCGTTTTAAGTGAAGAAATGTAGTCCTAAAAGAGAAAACATTGAATATTTTATAAGTAGAGAGGGTGAGATGATGTATTCTCAGGTTTCATAAATTATAAACTGTCATTTTTACATATTAAAATGCTCCAGATTCTCATGAAGTGAACGAATTCTAATAATAAAAGAATTAAAAGCAATGCACATGACATATTACTATTTTGAATGTATTTATGGGTTAAACGGAATTTTATGTTTCAGTTTAAATATTTTTATTTATTTATTGTTATGTACAATTTAACTTCTGTGATAATGTAACGCAAGTTTCTAATCGTTTCAGATAAATACTTATGAAAATTCAAGTTCAAGAAATAATACAAACTATTCCAATTATTGGAGTAATTCCAGTTATAACAGCGAAATAGGTAAGAGACTTCATGCTTTTAACATTATAAATATATGTTTCTAGTGATTAAAAGAATAGTTAAAACATAAATATAGATAAATTTATATTTATATAAGTTTTAACTCGATAATATTTCTTAAACTTTGCAAATATCTTATATACGGTGTACAGTACATGAAATTAGAGAAGTATTTTAATATTATCAATATTTCTGCTCCATAAAGTTAAGGCAATAAATTTAATTTATCAGCATCCTAGAACTGAAAAATCTTAATTTAGGTGTTTTAGACAATGAAGTGTGATAGAATTTAATTTGCTTTTAATTAAAAATTTAGTTTATTCTTTAATCTAGTCATTTTGTCTTTTAACTTCGGAAAAGGAAAATGATCTTTTCTACCTTCTCATTTTCTGACTTATAATTTCCAATATATTACTCAAATACGAAAAATATTATTTACAATATGCAATATGTTCCTGCGCTTATTATTATTATTATTATTATTATCGACCCATCTCGATTATAAGATTATTTCTGCCCAATTTCGAAATTTATAGTTGATGAAGCTCTGAAATATAGTGGAAATTACTGGCAAATTTATCAATTCTGTAAAATTTAGTCATAAAACTCAAAGAAATATTATAAGTTTTCGTTTTTGTATACAGGGTAAACTAGAGTTAGATGGTCGATAAAAGTTCTGGAAGTGTAAATGAGAAAATAAATTATATTTTTAAAAAGCTGACTAAACTAATGTATTCTTAGTATACGAAACGAAATAAAAGTCTTATACAAAACACAGATTCAATGAAACAAAATACAGTAAAACCTGTGTAAACCGGAATCGCACGGTACCGAATATTTTTTCATGTTTGGCAAGTTTCTGTTTTTAACAAGTTTCTTTAAAAACAAAAAAATGGCTGCATTCTGAAGAACTTTTCCGTTCAGGCAGATTTCCGTTTTGAACAGGCTTTACTGTACAGTCGACCCCCTCTAATACTGTTGATAATTCCGTTTTATAAGAATTCCATGTTGTACGAGTCACTTAGATTTTACAAATATGTGAGCCGTTCACAGCCCGGCACATGTATTTGTAAAATCTAAGTGACTCCTACAACGTGGAATTCATATAAAACGGAATTATCAACAGTGTTATAGGGAGATCGCCTGTATATCCAGACCATCTGACCCTGATTTATCCTAACGAAGAAATCGATAGCATGTTATGTGTGCAAATTAATTTGTCATTTAATCCTAAAAATCNAGTGACTCCTACAACGTGGAATTCATATAAAACGGAATTATCAACAGTGTTATAGGGAGATCGCCTGTATATCCAGACCATCTGACCCTGATTTATCCTAACGAAGAAATCGATAGCATGTTATGTGTGCAAATTAATTTGTCATTTAATCCTAAAAATCAGTATTCAAAAGATACTTGTTTTCTTAGTTAATGTGCAAAATTTAATGGTTTTCTATCAAGCGGTTGTCGAAATAGCCTATAAGCAATCGAAAAGTATAAAAATAGCCAAAAATGTCGTATTTTTCCAAGCGACACTGCAGACGTTTCTAGAGAAAAAACTACCGGGTCTAAAAAGGTCAAATTTTACACTTATTCTTTCTCGTTATCGTTGAGTTGCTAGCGAAACTTTGGATCGAAGGGTCAAAGTACAGTACATGGGGGTTCCCCGTATAACTATTTTACTTTTCTCGCATAATATCATGCTTACTCACAAGATTTTCGCATCCAATATTGTTTTTTACACTACGCTTCGAAGCGCCGAGCTTATTTCTATTGAGGAAAAACGTACAGTACATCATACTTTATCTGTGCTGGCCTTCTATGTGACATCTTTCAAGACAAATACTGTATATCAAATGAAATGACGTGACTTCCGTTTAACATCGGAAGTTCGTATATAAGTAATTTGGGCTTATGGAGCCTACTGTTCCCATATCTGGTCTCAGGTTTCATCTATCTAACTGCATTCTCTAGATTAAGGAAGGATTGGCGGACAGCCTAACAGAGTACTGGGAATTTATAGGTCTATAATTTTTTTTTTAAATTCAGCTTATATCCACATTTTGTTTTTAGATTTTTACATAGTTTTGTTAAGAAATATTTTCTCTAAATAATTAAAACTAAAATTATATTTATTTATTTCAATTCTTAGCTTAGAACGTTTTATAATAAAAATACTTTGTAAATACCGATACAGATTGTAAGAAAAAGGAAATAAAAGAAGAGAAACGTGACATTAAACATGGCATAAAATTAGAATGTAAAGTCGTTTTGAAAAGATTGAATTTTAAAATCAAAACTGAAGATTGTAAAGTTTATCTCCCAAATGAATACGAAGATTTAGAGGTAAGTGATACAAACTTCCAAATATTTTACACAATTAAACTATAAATTTAGGTGTATTCTGTACTAAACAACAATTGTAATTTTATGGTTTTTTTACTTTCTGCTTTTTTCTTTCCACGATGAAAGTCCGAAGGGTGGGAACATTAAGTGTTTAGTTCAGACTGATTCAGAGTTTTATCGAGCCAGAATAGACCAGGATTGAAATGAAAATGGCAACCTGATCGAGTTAATCCTGGGTTTTGTAAGGGCCTAAAATCATACTTATGATACTCATCGAAAGACTGATAATAGTAAACAGTTGGATTATTTAAGTTTATAACAACACTAGCTGTTGCCCGCGAGGATTTTGCAAGCAAACCCCATTTGTATTCAGTATTTCAACAACTATAGTAATTGTTGAAATACCTGCCGCTGAGAATGACGAGAATTGCCGAGAATCAAACGAACTGTTTTCAATTTGATCAATTTTCTGGAACGTTTACAATCGTTCTATCATCGAACCAATAACAAATTCGAATTTAAAACGGTTCGAACATTTTAAAAATCGAAATTGATAAAAATATTTATAACAATGTCTGAAATGTTATCAATTTAATACACCTAAGTACTCGATGAAGACTAAACGTTGTTGAAAACAAAAAATCACATCTAAAATAGTACAGTAGAAGCCGTTTTTCCGGTTAAGCCTTTATCCCCTCTCTCTCCCCCGCGGGGGAATTTCGAATAATCCCTTCTTAGTATGCGTTTTCATGACGTACCCTAACTGTGTACCAAATTTAATCTCTAGGTTCAGCGGTTTGCTCTGGGCAATGATGAATCAGTCATTCAGTTAGTCAGTCAATCAGGACAAGTAATTTTATGTATTTAGATGAACATTTTTATTATAGAAACATACATTTGTGAGGTTGCCGAAAGGGTGGGACAAAAGGGAAAAAGACAGTTGAAATGAAGTCAATGTAAATGAAAGATGTGGGTGATGGACAAATGAGGCGGACGATGTTAGCAATTTAACTCTCTTACTTTGAGCCAATGTGAAATCTTTAGAACATTAAAAAATGTGTTTCTATTCGAGCGAATAAATTTCTCCTCGAGTAAATCCAAGATGTCGGATAAAGTAAAGCTGTGAGGTGTGAAAAGGAAATTCCTACTTTGTCCTTGAAATTCGGAGTATTTAATGAATTTTATCTCTGAATTTTCTTTTTCAATTGGACACTACGCTCTGCCGATTGGTTATTTATTTTTTTTGTCTCCAAGTGAAATTAGACCAGATTGGGTGGCAAGAAAGGTCGATTTTTTGTATTCACCTGATAGCGTATCTCGACTTTCACCAAAAAATGTTGATTGAACTTAAAAATTATAACACGTGCTCCAATCTGACAGGAGAGTTAATTTATTTACATTTGCTTCACTTCTATTTTACATATTTTCTCTCCATAATAAAATATATGTTTAGCAATTTTAGAGAAAGGTTCGAAATTATTTTGACATCGTCAACAATGCCGGCAATTTTTAATCATATTTTAATTTAAAAAATTACGTGATTTCTTGTCCAAACTAAGTTCATATAGAATTATTTGGTGCCTCAAACCCTTAACATTTCCATATCTGGTCTGGATTTTCATGTATTTAGCTCTGTTCTCGAGATGAAGGAAGAAGGGACAAACAACAGTGGGAACCTATAATAAAAAATGTCGTAACCCTGTAGATAACAGCGAATTATTAGCATACTAAATAGCCCCTTTACAGTAAAAAAAATTCGAAAAAATTTACAATCTATATCTATATATAGGCCTATATATAAAAATGGACTTGTGTGTCCCTATATTTCACTTTTCAGCTAAAACTACACATCGCACATGAATGGTGTTTGTACGTGGTAGTAGCCCCAAGTCTCCATTTGTGCACTATGGTGTTTTCGTCTCGATAGCTATAAGGGTGCAGGAGATATGGGGTTGAAAGTGGAAGATTTTCTATTTCGATTTTTAAAATTTTCGAATTTGTATTCGAATTAGTTCGATTATAGAACGATTGTAAACGTTCCAGAAAATTGATCAAATTGAAAATAGTTCGTTTGACTGGACGTAAAAATTCTCTAATTAGTCTGGAAACAGGGGACCTAATTCTTGCATTCTGTGAAAACGGGTAAAATTGGCTATAATGTAATTATCTTAATCTTCACTATCGTTACCTTTTGCCCAGAGATGCGGGTCCTGGCAGATAGATTCTACATTACTTAGAAAAACAGTCTTTTATATATATAAAAAAAACTATATTACATACAAATGTANGCCCAGCGATGCGGGTCCTGGCAGATAGATTCTACATTACTTAGAAAAACAGTCTTTTATATATATAAAAAAAACTATATTACATACAAATGTACGAACAAATAAAAACCCAGCGAAGCGGGTCCTTGCAGCTAGTTAAAAATAAAATTAATTAGTTAATTAATTAATCCTTCAACGACTTTTTCTCCAAACCCCAACATCCTAGCCACAGCTCTAATCTATCTAACTCTTGCAGCCTGTCGTATATGTTGGAGCAATAATGAAATGTATTTCTAACTATTGCTCTAAACTCTGAAAGCTTATAGGTATGTGAATCATTGGAGGTTGATGGGATCTATAACGACGATCGTGACGTATACCTTCGTGTTTAAGGAACCGTTTTTGAATAAAATGCCAATGTGTAAAAAAAATGCACTTCCGTAGTACTAATTTGCTCCAATTTAAGTTTTAAACCATGTTTGTTGGATATTAGTTGCTTGCTGTGCTCTTTATTATATGTATTTTCGTAGCATAAGGTTGCCGTTGAGAACAAATTACACAGGAACACTTTTATTGGAAAAAGGTCGGTTTATTTATATTGAAAAAGATATGAATTTCGGGCTTAATACCCCTCTTCAGTCCTATTATAACAGATTTATTAACAAAATTATTAGAGTTATAGATTTACCAATTGTATTGAAATATTTAGGATACGCGTACACAGGTTTATACAATAAAACATAATTACCTGAGATTATAGTGACAGTTACGACAACACGACTCGTGAGAAGACATAGGCGAAAAAAGGCGATGAATGGAGCTAAAATTCTTTTAATTCCACCCTTATACATATTAGAACAGTATAATAACATGCGCTAGAAGAAAAAGGGGGGTAAACTTAAATAAAAAATTAAGTACATAATTAAGAGGCGGAATTTTTATAAAATTAATAAGGGTAGGATGCGAAATAATTTCGATGAAATGTAAGGAAAAACATAGGCCAGATATGAGAGATTTAAAAAAATGTGAATATTCACCGAATGTTTGGTGTGTTCACTTGCCCAGTGGAATACGATGGAGGGAGGTAGTACATTTTAATGGTAGTACATGTTCTTTTTAATATACACGGGTGTGCTGGAGTAGTAATTGATTACTTTACTGACTTCACACGGTTTTATATATTTTTAAAGGTAATGATATTATTATTTCTTAGTATAGTGATGTCTAAAAAATTAACTTTGTTGTTATTTTCATTTTCTATTTCAAAACATATTTTTTTTTTTGGATATTGTTGGCGTATTGAAGTATGGTTTCAGGGTTGGTTAATTGTTTGTTATAAACAACAAAGCAGTCGTCAACATAACGGTTATAGAACATTATACCCTAAAGTTTATGGCTAATATTGTCGATGTTAATCATGCACAGTTCAGCGAATTTTTGACCGATGCAAGAGCCCATAAAGATATCATCTAATTGTCTAAAGAAACCATTATGTAAATATATAAAATTACTTGTTCTGACTGACTGGCTGATTGATTCTTCATCGCCCAGAGCAAACTGCTAAACCTAAAGAGGTGAAATTTGGTATACAGTTAGGGTACGTCATGAAAATGCACACTAAGAAGGGATTTTTCGAAATGCCCCCGTGGAGGAGAGGGAAAGGATTGAGTCTAGATCTGAATAACGGCTTCTACTGTACTATTTTAGATGAGACTTTTTTGTTTTTGAGTAGGTTTAGTCTTCATTGAGTTTTGTATTTATTGAGTACTTAGGTAGTTATATTCAGGCTCAAAATTTTCATATCTTTATTTATATTGAGATTTTGGAGATTTTTTATGAACTGGTCAGAGTTTTTAATGCTATTAATTATCAAATATATTCAGTTTATTTTAAAGGAATTTCTGTAAGTTGTAAAGAACGTAAAATTTAATGTCAATTAGTGAGCGGTAAGATTCATTTAATTAATGTGTTATTACTGTGATGTTGAGCTTGGGTATTCTCCAGTTGTAATCAAAAATATTATCATCTTTTATATTAATTAATTAGATTCTTTAAGTTTTTTATCCATTTTTTACTAAACTTTCATGTATGCTTAAAGTAGGATCTTTGGTTAAAGTGTAATAGGCCTATATCTGATGTAATAATGATCTAAAATGTGTTTAAAATTGGCCCTGACATGATCTCTCTCGTTAGTTTCTATTTCAGTTAGTATATCCTCTAAATGTACTTTGAAATCATTATAATTAATTTTTATTGGGCAATTAGAGTTTAAACCTTTGATAAAAAACTTTTTAACAAAATTAGGTAATATGCAATTATTTTGGTTTACAACTAACATTTGTTTCTAGTTTTTTCGTTCGTTTATAGTTGGGTAATTTAGTCTTTTAACTAATTTATTAAATTTTCTACGAGTATACGAGTTATCATAGCCGACTTCATAAGTGTGTTTACCTTTAACTTTTTTGATTTTAGATTTGAGTTTTTTTTCAATTTTGTATCTTTTAAACTTAATTGTCGATTTTAAAATGAACTTACTGTATTTACTTTTAGTAAGGTTAGTGTTGGAAGTTCTAATTTCTCTAATAAAACAGTGTTTAGATACCAGACATCTGTTAGTAATTTATTCAGTTCTTCTTTCATCTTTATGGTGTTCGCTAAATCTGGCAAGATCCAGCGAACACGAAAAAGATGGAAGAAGAACTAAACAGTATTCAATGAGTCTGAGTATATATTGAAGTCTGTAAATAATTGTAGCACGTATATAGCCTCGGAGAAAGTCCTTGTATCGTCAGAGAAGATCTATCCGAGACTACAACAATTACTCCTTATAACCCAAATCTGAATTAACACATTCATATATCACTAGACTCAACGGATTTTACTGTGGATCTGGAAACTTTTATTATCGTAACCCTAGGGATCCGCGAAACAAAAGTTGGGAATCCTTGGTCAAATAAGTTGCCCAGTCGATAAAATCACTGAACACTGTTGACTTTGAATTCTCGTTCCTGATTAACGGGTTGCCCAAGTAGAGATTTAAGGGTTTCTTTACTTCTGCAATGCCTAAACAAGGGCTAGTTTCCCATAGAAAGTACATCGGAGAAGATCCCCCTTTAACAGATTGACCACATTTTGCTTCCCTTATACAACTGTAAACCAAACAAAAAAAAAATTAATTTTTACAAAATATGTAAGAAATAATTTAGTTTTAATGCACTTTTTAATGCACAACAACACGTTTATGAGTTACATAATTATTTTCATGTATAATATATTGTTTTGTGTTGTTTCTACATTCTTTAGCCTGTCAAGAACGAATTCTCCATTCCCGACAGAAATTTTAACAGGAATGAAACGAACGTTCAAAGTAAGTAACACATTACAAGTTTATTTGTTAATTAATTTAAATACTTCTTTGAAGATCAGACTTTACATATAAAATTAGCCCTATGTAACATTTAAAATTTTGCGGTACCATCACATTTTATTTAAAAAAAAACCTGTTATATTTTTACCTATTATATGATAACATAAAGCTTAATTTTCAGGGAAGAGGTGGGTTTTTATTAAGATTGTAATTGCTAATTCTGAGAAAAAACCGTTATTAAATCTGACCCTACTGGAGATACACACGACTTCCATTATCCGTCCACTCCGCCGACCTTCAACCACGAAAATAGTTAATAATATTTTATAATTAAAATTCCAAAATTTTACGAAATTAAATGTGCTTATGGTTTTAAAACTGTATCCTTAATGATATAGCTAACGACATAAACATTTTCAATGTGTTACAAAGTTCTACACTTCTGCTGGATATTTATTAATATTACTATGTAAATAAATTCAATTATCCTTAACTTTTCTTCTTAAATTGTGTGTGGCAACATCCGGAATAATATTTTATTTAAAAGGTGTTTATATAATTTTATATATCATAAAATGGCAAAAAGCTTAATTTTGTGGTTAGAGAAAAGGTTTATAAAACATTGTAAATGCTAATAACGAGTAAAATCTTCATTATTTCCGATTTTACGCGTGGCATTACACATGTACCCTCTGTACCCCGTTAACCTCTATAACCAAAAGTTAATAGCATCTAACCCCCAAAACATAAATCTCCATTCAAAACTTTAGATATTTTGGACAAAATTCGAAACAATTATTATGAATCAAAGTGGATAAAGAAGAATGTGCCATATACTACACAGATACACATACATACATACATACATACATACATACATGCAGAATAATCCGCGAAAGTTTTTTATTTATTTCTTGAATTTTGAAACTTCCCTCAGCCTGACAATGTAAATATATTGCATGGTCATTTTCTTCACCAATCGCCATGCTGTTATATGTATAGTAGCGTAGCGTAGTGGGGGCGGCAGGGGGGGCCCATTTTAGGGGGAGACAAAATTACGTTATATGGGGCGGCAAAATTTCACAATAAATAATAATAATATCTTGTAAGAATTTGAACCATTTTATTTCATATTTTCGTCCACCTACGACTCGGACCGATTGAAATGAGCACGAAATAGTGTTACTATCCATCCGGGGATATCGTGCGCAACCTGTTGATCTTTTTTTTTTTTTGTTTTTGCTTGTACGATTTATTCGTATAGGCCTATATATACACCTCTAAAATCCAATACAGCTAGGTCACTCGCGTTACTCCTATCCAAGTCTCCCTAGTCGCTAACTGTAACTGATTTAGAACCAGCATGCACAACACATTATTCTTCGCATTGCAAAATGACATACGCATGGGTCAGGAACTTCTATTCGAACAAACCTCACCCGCCGTCCGGGTCAGCGATTTTAATAAGGTGGCAACACTAGCACGGAATTTTTCATTACTTATTCTGTGACGAAACTGAATTTGTCTTTTAAATTGAGATATCTAAATAAGGGGGGCGAAATTTTTCTCCGTCCCCCCCCTTATTTAGGTATCTCAATCTCAAACTTCGAACTTTTTCGTACTTCAATCTAACCGTTAACTTTGAATTTGCTATTCTCGAAGACAATGGAGAGTTCGTCTGGATGCAAAAATAAGTTTAAAAGTTAGGACCGAAAATTTCATAAAATTTAATTCATTTCGAAGAGAATTTAACATTATTTAAACATATTTACTCGGTCGGAGGACTTTTTAAATATCGGATTTTTCTTAATTTCTATTAATAAAATCTGTTTACTATTTTAGTTTGTTTTACTCAATCTAATGCTTAAAAAAATATAATCCAGCTGGAAGTCGAAAAGAATTTCTTTAAAATATTTTACATTTTTCAATTTGTATCTATAAAATATTTCGTAATTATTGGTATTCGGGCCGAATTCCAAAGTCTTGTTGTCGAGATTAATTACGTTTAAATCGCATAATTCGGAATCATATTCGCTTCTTTCCCTGTATATCCGTTTGTTTTCAACCCGGAAAATTCTTCTAATCTCGGAAAATCTCGCAAGTTCTTTAAAAGGCACCTTGTTTTCTTATTTTGTGTTAAGGTTGAAGAAATTTTGCATATAGAAAGTATAATTAAGCGACCCTCGCGTCATACTTCATGACATCATCGAGAGTAGACTGTTGACGTCATGGCACATACTGATGTACCGTGTACTACTACTTGAATCGCATTCGGTAATGGGTTTTAAAAATGTTTTTATATATAATTCGCGAATTTCCCTGAAAATTAGAAGGCGTTGATGTCAGAATGATCAGTCATTTTAAAACAAGGACTGATAGGTGTGGTCTCTGTCAAATATTAATCGATGAAAATAATCGAAAACCTTTATTAAGCAACTGTAATTGCAGGTAATGAATTATAACTTTACTTGTACATAGCAGCTGTTAATAGCGGCATCAAGGCTATATCCAGATAGTTCGGCAGTTCGTTTGTCTTCCACAAATACATATTGATTATTGACAATCTGTGACATGCAAAGCAAACATAACAAGCAAAAATTTAAAAAAAACTAATAAGCGNCGTACAAAGTAAGTAACACATTACAAGTTTATTTGTTAATTAATTTAAATACTTCTTTGAAGATCAGACTTTACATATAAAATTAGCCCTATGTAACATTTAAAATTTTGCGGTACCATCACATTTTATTTAAAAAAAAACCTGTTATATTTTTACCTATTATATGATAACATAAAGCTTAATTTTCAGGGAAGAGGTGGGTTTTTATTAAGATTGTAATTGCTAATTCTGAGAAAAAACCGTTATTAAATCTGACCCTACTGGAGATACACACGACTTCCATTATCCGTCCACTCCGCCGACCTTCAACCACGAAAATAGTTAATAATATTTTATAATTAAAATTCCAAAATTTTACGAAATTAAATGTGCTTATGGTTTTAAAACTGTATCCTTAATGATATAGCTAACGACATAAACATTTTCAATGTGTTACAAAGTTCTACACTTCTGCTGGATATTTATTAATATTACTATGTAAATAAATTCAATTATCCTTAACTTTTCTTCTTAAATTGTGTGTGGCAACATCCGGAATAATATTTTATTTAAAAGGTGTTTATATAATTTTATATATCATAAAATGGCAAAAAGCTTAATTTTGTGGTTAGAGAAAAGGTTTATAAAACATTGTAAATGCTAATAACGAGTAAAATCTTCATTATTTCCGATTTTACGCGTGGCATTACACATGTACCCTCTGTACCCCGTTAACCTCTATCACCAAAAGTTAATAGCATCTAACCCCCAAAACATAAATCTCCATTCAAAACTTTAGATATTTTGGACAAAATTCGAAACAATTATTATGAATCAAAGTGGATAAAGAAGAATGTGCCATATACTACACAGATACGCATACATACATACAAACATGCGTACATGCAGAATAATCCGCGAAAGTTTTTTATTTATTTTTTGAATTTTGAAACTTCCCTCAGCCTGACAATGTACAATGACAGTGGAATCCCGGTTAACGAACGTAATCCGTTCGACGAGTCCGTTCGTTAACCGAAGCAATTTTTCCCATAGAAATTAATGCAAATACAATTAATCCGTTCTTGCCGCCAGTATTTTTGTAATTTTATTTGTAAAATGGGTTTTCTTTAATGAAAATATAGGAAAACGTGTTCATAAACAGTCGATCTACGTTAAATTTTCGGAAAAAACGAAAGATTTGACGGGTATAAAAAAAATCACATACGATCGTTAAAGTTCTAAAATGACAGATAGCAGAAACAATAGGCTAAATTATGAGCGAAAGGCTTATAGGTTTATCAACAATCTCCGATCAGAGTNCACATACGATCGTTAAAGTTCTAAAATGACAGATAGCAGAAACAATAGGCTAAATTATGAGCGAAAGGCTTATAGGTTTATCAACAATCTCCGATCAGAGTCGACGAACAGGTGTCAAATAAACGCCTCGGAACAAACCTTTCTCGTGACCCGATCTGGTTTCGGTTTTCACCTGCAGACAAAGAAGAGAACAATCGTGAAGCGAGGAATGGGACACAGGACAAATCGTAAGGTGAAATTCAACGAAGAAATACTATAAAAACCCCGAATATCAAGGTAAAAACGCAGTTTTCCTAAAAATTCTATGGCGATTAATCTGTGCCGTCTTCGTCTGAATTAAGCCTGAAGTCGTTCCCGCTAAAATTTGTGTTGTGTCTCGCGGACCGCTCCAGTCTTGCGGCTCTCACCTACCATCGCTTCTGTGACCAAGCGAACTCATCTCGTCCGCTCTGGGGCTACGACTGATCAGCTTGCACTATCGTAGGACCAGCGATACGCCACTCCTCAGTGCCGAGAGAAAATACTGTAGATAAGCCATTTCCAACTACCTCAAATATGTAAGCATCTTCCCGTTCTAATAAACGATTTTCACTATAAAATACTTGTCATCTTTGTCTCCTCCGCCATCACCAACGTACGAATGGATCCTAGACCATCACCGACACACGATTAACTGATTTTCCCTAAAAGTCGGCAAGCTTACAAATTTGACACAAAAAGCCGTTAAGTTCGTTATCCGAGACAAAATTTTTGCAAAATAATAGTTCGTTAACCGATTTGGTCGTTAACCAGGACGTTCGTTAACCGGGGTTCCACTGTAAATATATTGCATGGTCATTTTCTTCATCAATCGCCATGCTAACTGTTATATGTACAGTAGCGTAGCGTAGTGGGGACGGCACTTTTTTCACATTTTCACAATAAATAATAATAATATCTTGTAAGAATTTGAACCATTTTATTTCATATTTTCGTCCACCTACGACTCGGACCGATTGAAATAAGCACGGAATAGTGTTACCATCCATCCCGATACTCCGGGAATCGACTAGCCGTCCGGAGATATCGTGCGCAACCTGTT